AGGGGTGAAGGTGCTGAGTGTGAGCCCCGGCCCCGCCAGCTCCCTGCCCCACTGCGGCAGGCACAGGGACACAGAGGACGTGGCACTCTGCCCCGTGCTTAACCCGAGGGGCACAAGCACAACAGCCTTCAGGGCACCAAGGGAAACAGCCAGAAAACAGGCTATGGGGCACACTCCTGCACCCCATAACCCTGGTGCTTGGAGGCCCGCAGGTGATGAACGCTATGGGTAGGGGAAACTTCGGCAGGGTGGTCAGCACAGCCTCCCCACAGCTGATCCCACTGGTGGGTGCTCAGCCTCCCCACTAACCCGCATGTCCTCTCCCCTCCCCACGCTGTGCAGAGACCCAGGAGTCCTGGCTTTCCACACCAGCTCCACAAGCCTGAGCAAAGCAAGCCCAGTCCAAGCAGTGGATGTGATCCCCTGCGAGGGGCAAACAGACACCATGGGGTGAAGGAGAGGGTCCTGGGGTCTATTGATTGCCCAGGCACTCACCATGCCAGCCCATGGAGTAGGGGAAGGAGACCTCAAAGAGGTTGTCATACTTGATGAGAAGCTTCTGCATGATGGACGCCAGGCCTGTGACAGAAGCATGAGGGTGGTTGCACCTTGAGCTGGCCAGCAGCCCAGAGGGTAGGTGGTACATCAGGCCGGGGCATTTAACCCAGGGCACCCGTCCCTGAGCAGCAGCACCACAGCGAGCTGCCCTGCGAGCCTGCCAGGGACAGCAGTGACACGGAAGAGATAGCCTGCCCGCCCCCACGCAAAGGGTGCAGGTGAACTTAAGGAAAAAATTCTTAACAGTGAGGGTGACAGAGCACTGGAACAACTGCCCAGAGAGGTTGTGGAGTCTCCTTCTCTGGAGATCTTCAAAACCTGCTTGGACGCAGTCCTGTGCCACGTGCTCTAGGTGACCCTGTGTGTGCAGGGGGGTTGGACTAGATGACCTCTAGAGGTACCTTCCAACCTTAAGCATTCTGTGATTCTAGGTGATGAGCCTGGATCAACACCCGTTGCTGATCAGCCAGCGTCACAAGGGTACTGGGCACCTTGTGCTTCCAGAAAAGGTCCCAGTTACCCCCTGGCATGGTCAGACCTCAAGCACTGGTTTCTCTCCCCACCTGTGCTGTGATGAGGAGGTCAGAGGGGACGGGCTCACCTGCCAGCCCAGAGGACCACAAACAGGGAGCCCAACTCCCACCCCAGTGACCCCTGCCCGTCCCACAGA